ACATTACTCATGTTTCTGTTGTCGTGTGATTCAGGAAGGATCCTTCTGACCATCGTGTGCAAGTATGCTTTACCCATCTGCTTGATACTAGAATAGCAGTTAAAGCATGTTTGGTTATTTGCAGCATACTAGTCAGTTGCTGCATACTACTCAGTTGTCTAGAGACTTTCTATATTCTGATTTTCACTATTTTTTGATATATTTCAAAATTACATATAAAAAACCAAATATTTCTTGAAAAAATCTTATCAAGACAGTAATTCATACAGCAAAAAATATAAGGGGCATTTTCTGAGTTTTGGGCATTGGATTTAAAATAACAAAAATATAGTAGTATAAAATGAATTTACACAGACCTAATTTATATTCAGTCTAGGAGGTATGGACTCAAATACGAATGCAAGATAAAAGAGACTACCAGAGGAGCTATGTGCTTATGCAGAAACAGTAACTTAAGCTTTAAACAGAGATCATAAGCAGAGTAGGCATACCCAGCACTTTAGGTTAAATGTGAAAGTGTGTAGGGGAAAAGACCTCTCAAACTGTGTGGAAGAATACATGTAAGTAAATGTCTGTAGGTCTTGCACATGGTGTGTATGGGTGTGTCCATACAGTGTTGTTTTGTTTTTTTTTTTAGGGGTTCCTAATAATATGCCTGGAATAAATGATTAAAGTACTAGAGAAACAATATTAAACTGTTTATTTCCAGAGTGGAAAACATGCTGTTGCATCCCTGGAGCAAATTGGCTAAAATGATTGGCTTTTGAAAGTATGGAATGAGCTTTAGGAATAGACAGTGTATTTTAGTCTTACTGTTACAGAGGATCATATACTTAAAAATGAAAACAGGGACTGGAGGTAACAGAACAAATGAAAATTAAGGAACACTGATAGATTAGTTGCTTTTATTTGAATGAGAAGTGTTTTGGAGACTCAAACTGCATTTAGATAGAGCAAAGTAGTTAAATTAATGTGCAGTTGCATTGGCAACTAGTAAAGTAATTTTGGAATGTGATACTGAAAATGTGGCAACAACAAGAAAACGTTTTTCAGAAAAGTAGGGGCAGAAGCAGCTACATAGAAGTAGTAGCCAGTGCCATTCAGAATCAAATGCAGAACCAAATGCAGAACAGGAGATTAGTGGTGTGTGAAAGAGGATTGAACAGAAATTTGTGTTGGTAGCACTCTGAAATAACCTCGGTTGTATTAATGTGCAGCCTTAATGAAGGAGACAGAGTGTTGTAACTAAGATGTTGTCCTGGGTTTAGCACTAGCAGTCATTTTTTCTCCTTCTTGGTAGCTGGTGCAGTGCTGTGTTTTGACTTTCGGGCTGGGAACAGAGCTGGTAAAAATGATGCTTTGGTTTGGCCAAGGACTTTGTGAGCCTCATGCTCTGCCAGGGAGGAGGGGAAGCCGGGAGGAAGCAGAGACAGGACACCTGACCCAAACTGACCAAAGAGGTATTCCATACCACAGCATGTCATGCCCAGGAGGTAACGGAGAGTTAGCCGGAAGGGCTGGGACTGCAGGGGTTGGAGGAGGTATCGGTCGGAGCTTGGTCGGGCTGGGGGGGGCGAGTTATCGGTTGCCTGGTGATGAGATGTTGTATTCTCTTCCCTTGTTATTTCCTTTATCATTATTATTATTGTTGGTAGCAGCAGTGATTTGTGTTATACCTTGGTTACTAAACTGTTCTTATCTCAATGCGTGGGAGTTGCATTCTTTCTGATGGTGCTGGATGGCCACACACAAAGAGTTGTCAATGGCTCAATGTCCAGCTGGAGACCAGTAACGAGTGGTGTCCCTCAGGGATCAGTGTTGGGACCGTCTTGTTTAACATCTTCGTCGCTGACATGGACAGTGGGATTGAGTGTGCCTTCAGCAAGTTTGCTGATGACGCCAAGCTGTGTGGTTCAGTTGATACGCTGGAGGGAAGGAATGCCATCCAGAGGGACCTTGACACGCTTGTGAGGTGGGCTGATGCCAACCTCATGAAGTTTAGCCGTGCCGAGTGCAAGGTCCTACACCTGGGTCGGAGCAGTCCCAGGCACAGCTACAGGTTGGGCAGAGAAGAGATTCAGAGCAGCCCTGTGGAGAACCTGGGGGTGCTGGTCAATGAGAAAAGGAACATGAGCCGGCTGCAGTGTGCGCTTGCAGCCCAGAAAGCCAACCGTATGCTGGGCTGCATCAAAAGGAGTGTGACCAGCAGGTCGAAGGAGGTGATCCTGCCCCTTTACTCTGCTCTCATGAGACCTGTCTTGGAGTATTGTGTGCAGTTCTGGTGTCCTCAACATAAAAAGGACATGGAACTGTTGGAACAAACCCAGAGGAGGGCCACGAGAATGATCAGGGGACTGGAGCACCTCCCCTGTGAAGATAGGCTGAGAAAGTTGGGGCTGTTCATCCTGGAGAAAAAAAGCCTGCGTGGAGACCTCATAGCAGCCTTCCAGTATCTGAAGTGGGCCTATAGGGATGCTGAGGATGGCCTCTTCATTAGGGACTGTAGTGATAGGACAAGGGGTAATAGGTTAAAACTTAAACAGGGAAAGTTTAGATTGGATATAAGGAGGAAAATCTTTCCTGTGAGGGTGGTGAGGCACTGGAATGGGTTGCCCAAGGAGGTTGTGAATGCTCCATCTCTGGCAGTGTTCAAGGCTATGTTGGACGCGGCCTTGGGTGACATGGTTTAGTGTGAGGTGTCCCTGCCCATGGCAGGGGGGTTGGAAGTAGATGATCTTAAGGTCCTTTCCAACCCTAACTATTCTATGGTTCTGATTCTATTCTATGTATCTATAGATACAGAAATGAGAAATCCTTGCCTTACGTTTTTCTCTTTTTATATTTGAGCTTTGCTGATGAATTCAATATAGTTTGCTTCTGTGGAATAAATCTAACTTTCCTGACTTTGAAAAGGTTATTTTTACTAAAGGGAATGTGAAGAGGCTTCAGTGGGACAGGGCAGTGATAAAAACTCAGAGACCTTGTCATTATTCCCAACTCTGATAATGTGTAGCTGTATGTAACTTTAGGCACAATATTTTTTTTCTTTTTTTTTTTTTTCTTTAGGTGATGCTTAGTACATCAGTCCACATAGGATTCATTTCTCTAGTCAGTGTTCTGGTTACAACAATAATAAACATGCTCCAGTTAGCTGTAAGGGGATATTTTGAACCTGTATTCACAGAAATATTTTTTATTGCTTAAAACATACCTTGAATTACATGACATAATGCAAATTTTGCTTTTCAGTATTCATATATTTGAGCCAAACCTACAAATTCATGCTTTATAATAATAATGAAAAGGGAAATCTTTGTGCACATATTTGATTTCCATGCATATATTCTGGATGCATTACTTCTCTGCTTCCAAACCAACATTTTGTGTTTTGTTGATGTGCATATAATTTAAGATTTGTGTGAAAGAAGTAGAAGACACAAGATGGTTCAATTAATTTATTTTATATTTTTCTCTAAAAGCAAACAACACCAAAACTTGCTAGGTAGTCCCTGAACAACTGAAATCCCATGGAAGCTGAGAAGGAAAGAAGAAAAAGAGGGAATTGCATCTGTGTAAAAATTGGATAAAAATGCCTGTTTATGTTTAAAATAAAAACATTAGGTATGGAAGTATGTTACTACCTGATAACTTTTCTTCTGCTTGGTGTGTGTGCTTGCTACCATGAATGGTCTTGATTGGATTTCTTTGGTGAATGGACTGTTTGAGTACGTTAGCAAATCACAATTTGTGATTATTTTCCAAAGGTAGTAAATGATCTCAGGATCTATTTGTACTATTTTTTCAGATTTTTTTACTTTCTCAGAGTGATATAACAGCAAAAACTCTAATGGACAATATTGTGTGGAATTCTGAAATGCTTATTGGAGGAATAGCCTAGCTAGCCTTGTGTAAAAGCTATCTCTAAGATGTGACTTATTCAAGTAACATAATTCATGTGTCGTAGGTGTATGCTTATGAAAGCCATCCTACTTTGTTTTATGCTGATCTAAAAGATTCTAAGCTGATGCTTGTGAAAATTTGAGTGCCACAGAAAAGAATAAGTGGATCAAAGGATGCATCATTGAGCCTTTGGGCAAGTGAAAGTTCAAAACCAGACCAACCTCAAAAATATATATTAAAAATGTCTGTTGTGTTTTAAAACTGTAACATTTTCACATCTGAGAGTTTTCTATTTTCAGATAAAATAATATATGCGAGGAATGTTCAAAATTACACAGCCTGTTAAAGAACTGGCTTTACTACTGGCTTCTTAGAAATTCTTGATGACTTTATTGCTAACAGTTTCTACTGAAGAGTTTTTGTAGACATTGGTCAGTTCTGTGGTGTTTGAAATAAAAGTGTTAACTTTACAATTGATTAATCTGCACATAGCTTTAATTACGATGTTTAAACCATGTTAATATAAAACTTGGTTTATCTAAATTAGTGCAAGTATACTGTAACGGAGTTGTACCCTACAGTTTTGTGATGAGAAGTAAGTTAATCTAAAGCTGTCTAAAATGGCTGTATTTTTATTTATTTATTTTTTTATAAGAAATAGTAATTTATACTGTTTGCACCAAATAGCATTTGGACAGGGGACTTGCAATAGTTTGTATGTTTGTGGTTTCTTTTCTTTTTTTTTTAAATGATGATAACAGTTTTATATCATGGAGTATGAAGTGTTTGAATAATAAGGCTTTCTGATAATAAAATATTCTGTTACTGTGCCATGTGCATGTTTGCACAGTTGCACGTGATTGAATTGCTGTAGGTCAGCAAGTTGCTGGTTGTTCACTGAGGTAATACTATGACCATTTTGAATTGGTTTCTGGGTTATGTAAGAGCACTTGCATGGTCAGTTAGTTATAGTGAAAACAGCAGGTAAGCAACTATTCATTTGATCATCGGACATATGGCTGTTTTATTTGATTTTTCCAGAATATTTTGAACTGGTATTGCAACTGTTGATGTCCTGGTTTTGATTTCTGAATTTAAAGGTTATCCCACCAAAAGAGTGGAAGCCAAGAAAACATTATGATGATATTGAAGATTTGGTGATCCCTGCTCCAATTCAGCAGATGGTCACTGGCCAGTCGGGGCTATTCACACAGTATAACATTCAGAAAAAGCCAATGACAGTAAAGGAGTTCAAGCAACTGGCCAACAGTACCAGGTATGTATATGGGGGGGGGTGTCTAGGCAATTGATAATTTTTTTTCTTTTTTTCACTCAGTAGAGGTTTTTCTGTCTCCTGTGTTAAAGGTACCACAACTTCAGTCTTGTTTGTTTCTGTTGTTGAAAACATGACAGTAAGAAAGTGTCTGAAAAACCTGAGACACAGTGCTTTCTGTCTACCTTTTTTCTTTCTCTTCTAACAAATGCTGATAAAGAAAATAACAAACATGATACAGAGTTTGAATCTGAGTACAACTACTGATGTTTAATTCTTTTTTTGTGCCTACATATAGGACATGGTCATCATGTAATTCTGAAAAAAACCCAGCCCAAAACCCAACATGTTTTTTAACTTGTCCACAAGTTTTTGCATTAATCTAAAATAACTGCGCTGCACTTTGTGAATGACTGTGTTCTGAGTATGGCAAGATGGATAGAATAAATACTTCTCCATTTCTTTTGGCCACATAAATTCTGCTTCAGTATTTTCCCAAAACTGATTGAAGGAGTTTCTGGAAGGTGAATCAAAAGATCCTGTAGAGGAAAGATATTTGAATGTCATGAAGGAAGGTAACACTGCCCTAGTGTAAAGGAAAAGTTTCTCTCATAAGTTAAATAACTTAACTGGTAAGAAGAGAAGCTGTTATCAAGACCAGGAAAAACTAGGACATGAATTCCTTTTAAAGAGGCTCCTCAACAAATGTTTCATATCCATGGCCTAGTAAAAGTGCAAAACTGATCTCCTTTTTTCAGTTAAAAAAGATTGGTATGTTTCTGCCCTTATGTTCCTTATGAAAACTTGAGGTTATCACGCTTACAGTTTTCTTCCTCTGGTAAGTAGGAATGGGAACCTATTTTATAATTCTTAGAATTACTTGTTCAGTAATAATATAAAACCTGTCTGGCATCTGATGTAATTTTCTGATACCTGCTAGTACGTGCTTAAAGTTTCCATTTGATTAACCCATGAGAAATACTAATTTCTTAAAATAGTTTGATAATGCAAAAATGCTGTGAAGGTTTTAATATGCATCATCATGTTGGTTAAGTTCATTGTACTGTTTGTCATTATTTTGAAGTGTTTCTGTGTTTTTTGTTTCTGTTTTTGTTTTTTTCAGAAAATTTTCATCTTTTTTTGCTGAAATCAATTTACAACTTCATCAGTGAATTTAAGAACAGTTGGGAGGGCTTTTATCTATTACTAGCTGTATGTCTTTCTAAATTTTAATCTAGAGAAAATTTCATGCAATCTCTTGTGACACTCTTAATGCAGTCTGTGTTTCTTAAACTCTTAAGTAGCTGAAAGCCCCTATTTTACCATAAAAATAATTTTGTTCTTTAATGTAGAAGACTCTTCTTCAGTGTTGTGATAATATTCATATTCTTTTGGAAAGAGAAAGACCATGAACATCAAAGTTAAATCATAGTTGCCTTTAAAAGGATTGTGTGTGCCTAGTCTGATGGCATTGCATCGTTTAATTTATGCATTTACTTTGTTGCATTTGCAGTTCAGCATTGAACCAAAGTGCTTCTTCACCTTGACCTCTGGAAAATACGGGCATACCTGCATCCTGTAATCAAGCTACTTCTGTTACGATACTGAGTTTATGTATCCATATTACTCAGTGCCAAAACCTGTTTTCTGGAGCCTCATGATAAATTATTGAAGCAGCTCTATTGCTGAGGTTGCTTTAGTTAAGAGGTTTGCTAACTTGCTTGTCTGTTCTGTGTTGCTTCATGATGTAAATGTACCTGGTCTACTTAATTCTTGCATATATGGATTTTTTTTTCCCAGGAGTTGAGGTGTATGTAGTAAGTTGGCAGTGCAATTGTGAAACTTCTCAGAGTTGCAGTAAGGAGAGTAGATTTTCTTTTCTGAAGATGTAAATACAGGGAAATAGAGTCCTGACAAAGGATCCTAAGGCAAAAGCTATTTGATGGATGTTTTCTGTGGTACTGTGCCTGTGTTGTATTCCCACAAGTTTGTACAAGAGGCTTGAGTAACCTTCCGAAAGTATATATATAATTGTATTCATGCTATTAAAAGTATGGTGCCCCCATGATGGACAGAATTAGCACACTTAAGTTGTTCTGACACAGGTTTTTGCAGGACCTATTACTGTGTTTGCAGAGTTGGTAGTGAGGCAGGTAAATAATGAATACTTGTTAATGAAGTGTCTTTTCCATGTGTGCCTTTTTCATGGAAGAGAAACAAAAGGGAAGGCCTCAGCCTGAGCACAGTCTGTCAATGTGCTGTTTAGCTCTTTGAGGCTAAAGGAAATATTTCATGAGCAGGTGTATGACTTCAGTTACTGTAGCTGTCAGGTTATATGTATTTCTCATGAGGTTACATGCTATGGTGAATAATGAAACTAAGAATTCAGGACAACTACCAGTTCCTCTGTTTACATGTATATATATAATATATATGAAATATGTATTATATATAAAATATACCTTATTCATAAAGCAATCTCTTAGAATTCAGTTTGCAGGATCGGAAGCATATTCCTTTGTGAAGGTGGTTGTTGGAAGACTATGCTGAACCTTTGCCTACTTCTTCCTCTGCAGATACTGCACCCCAAGATACATAGATTATGAAGATCTGGAGCGTAAATACTGGAGGAACTTGACTTTTGTGGCACCAATTTACGGAGCAGATATCAATGGGAGCATTTATGATGAAGTATGCTTAGCTTTTTATGAAGTCTATCTCTTCCAGCCCTTTTTTTAAGGGTACTGCACTTAGAAGATACATTCTTGCTTTGTGACAGATAATCTCATTTCCTTTGAAATCTTTATGTTACTCACTCTAAAGACTCCAAGCAAGGTTGAAATTAACCCTACATCTGCAAGAGTCAAGCAGGTCTGTGCTTAGTAGGATATTGCTACTATGACTGATCATATGACTCCCCAATCATAATACTCTTCCCTTTCTTCACTTTGAACTCTCCAGAACTTTGAGATTCCTTCTTATTTATTAACATTTTGTATGCTTGTTGTTTACCTCTGTAGAAATTGAGTCATATTTTAAGTAACTTTTAATTTAAAATTAAAATATGAGATACTTAATTTCTCTTTCACTAAGAAAGATTGTTTGCTGTGCTTTCTACATGCTTGGAATGCCACCAGTTTCCTGGAAATGTGTTCTGAATAGACAGAATGGAAACTTCCTAAGCAAATTATTTTTGCCGGTTATGTGCCAAAATCTCCATGGATAAGAAGGGATTCTTAACACAGATCTATGATATTCATTGAATTAGAGAATATCCATTGATACCAATTAGGCTACATAAGCAGATATGGGAACTAGATTTTGAAAGGATTATTTAAGTAATGAGACCAACAGAAGAAATGTTAGGATTTAAAAGAAGATGTGTGTTTTTAAAAAATACAGGGCAAAATTTTCTGCAGAATAATCTTATCGTGGGGTTCTTATTTCCTGTTCGATGTAACTGTCTTCTCCAGTCAGTAAAAAAAAAAAAAAAAAAAAAAAAAGGCAGGATTTCACTGTGGCAGATGGTCTGAAGCTTGGCTAGGGTTTCGTATTTCTTCACAGAAGATAAAGTACTTGAAGGCTCTGTCCAAAGATAAATATGGTCAGCCAGTACGGCTTAAGGCAATTCAATTTTTGCACTATGTTAAGTGGTCACTGAAAGATAGCTATGAATGTCCAGTTGTCTATTGTTAGAGAAAGCAGGAAGTCCTAATTCTGTTGTGTTTTCAAATAGCTGTATAAAAATGATAAGGGAAATAACAAGATTTTGATTTGGAGCGCTGTGGTGAAGAGACATTCTACTTTGGTGTTGCTTTGTGGAGATCAGAAATGGGGCACAGGAAAAGCAGACTTTTTTTACAAGAAATAGAAGCTGCCTTTCTTCTTCTCTGATACTTTTTTTCTTATTTAATGTTGGCAGATAATGCTTTCTGGTGTAGCATTTTAGAAATGTATACTTTGTTTTGATTGTTTTCTTTGGCTTTTAGTTTCTTAAAGTTACTGTTGCATGAGCAACAATTCCAAAGAAAAGAGAATGCAGTAATATCCAATTTTGAAGTGTTGACGGGTCAAAGAGGAGGTCAGAGATTTCCTTCTCATGAATTGGTCTGTCAGACTGGGAGGCTAAGGAAGCAGCATGTGAAGTGGGAAGAGCAGAATTCAGTAATCCTAACTCAGGTGTTATGTGTATAGGAAGAGGAGACAAAGGAAGCACTGAAAATTGCAGGGAGTGGGAAATAAAGTAGTGGGTGAGAAAAAGGTAACAGGTAGAATAAAGAACCCCTGAATACCTATGATTGGGTGTTATTTAAAAATAAACAACAAAGGAGAAATATCAGTGAAAGGAATAGACAGTGAGGAAAGTGTGTAAACAGATTGCCCACTTAATGTAACAGCCCAGTGGGGTTCAGAGCAACAAAAAAGGGGAAAATCCCTGGTAAAAAGCTGTTGATGAGAATGCTGCTGATGAAAAAGTTTTCTCTTAAAATATTTTTGCCGAAGTTAATTTTTGGGCAGCAGATGGTGCACTTGCACAACCAATACTTCCCAGGTCTTCACCCTCGAAGATTATGCTAAGCTCTTTTATACTGTTTCGAGTTGTTCTTAGGTCTGCATTCAGTTACCTTCAGGATTGTCATTATTCTGGGAAAGGAGATGAGCACAATTAACTGACGTTTTGGGCAACATACAGGAGAAAGGGCATGGTGGGATTAATTTGTTGTCACAGCCTATTTGTGGTAAAATCGGATTTCTTTTTCTTTTTTTTCCAAGATGTATTTGATAGAAAACAGTGTGTTACAGATGTTGCATTTAATACAGAAAGGGAAATACCTGGCAGAATTCCACATAGAAAACCACCAAGAACTTAGTGAAACTGTGATGTGTACATGTACTTAGACTATCAAAATTAGTGAAAAGTGCTGCTGCGCTGCAAGTCCTTATGCTTTAGGTTAAAAGTTTACCAAGTACGTATTCTTTCTCACATGGTGACATTCAATTTTGCATTGAGGCATCTGTGTCTGAATCATGATTAAGCCTTATTTTTTACTATTTATATTATTTAAGAAACAATATTATTATTTGTGGAATCCATCACAGTGCCATTGTGCCAGAGAAATCATTGATCATGTAGCAGTGTTTGTTTTTTTAGATAACAGTATGACAGATGCTGGGGGTTTGGAATATGGAACAAAGTTATGGTTTAATTTCATATGGAACAGCAAAAAGGAAAAAAAAACCCCAAAACCAAAAATCAAACAACAGTAACAAAACCCATGTAGCTAAATGCATGCTTTAAAGCTTGATAATTGGTATCGATGATTTAGAAGTTTAACCTCGTCATATTTGGATTATTCCAGAATTTCTGTTGTTTATTTAGAACGTATTTATGGTTATTTGACAATTTTGAACATGGGTTCTTTATGAATAAGGAAATAACCTATCAGAGTAAATGTTCTGTAGACTGTATAGAGCTTTATAAAAAATCTAAGATAGTTGAATGTTTGCTTGAAATATTACTCGGTGCTGTATGTATTTTAATTGCTGTTACATTTAATTACAGTGCTTTGCAGGAGAATGACAAGGTAGGTGACTCAAGAAAAAACAGTGCACTAAGGAACAGATTTAAAGGATAATTATTTATATTGAGTTTATAAATATTATTAGATATACGTTCAAGGTTATATCTTTCTGTTGCTATAAGGTCACCTGGACTTGAGTGGAAATGAACATTCCTGAAAGAGTTTATAATGTCAATAATAAAGCACCAGTCTCATTAGCTAGAGTTTAAAAACTGACTCATGAATGGATTTTTACACCTAATAGTTACGATTGTTGAGTCAGTTTAATTGAGAAGTGATTTTTTAATTATGTAATTTTGAGACAGGTGTCTTTCTGAGTTAGCATCAATGTAATGCCAACTTGAGCCACCTTAGACTGCAAATGACTAGCCTGTGGAATGGTTGTGAAAAGAATTACCATTCCTCTGAGGAAGGGGAAGGAAGAGTGTTATTTTTTTCCTGATATAATAACGTTATTAATTCTTTATTAGCTTATATGTCAGTTGTAACTGTGAGTAAATTGAAGAGTGTAGTTCTGTACAGTCTCTGTTCTGGTGAGCTACTGTTAGGCCTTCCACTCCCATGGCATTCTCAGCTGTTGTTCATATTGAGCCACCAATTACCAAAGCCACAAATTAAGTTGTTTCCTTGTATCTCATACAAGGAGCTGAATTTAACTTTTTGGTTTGCCACCTCTCCTTTTTTTTTTTTTTTTTTTCCCTCTGTGTCCTGGGTTCAGCTGTAACAGTAATCATGGCATTGTGTTTAGTGGGGGTTTTTTTTTTTGTTGTTGTTTTTTTTTTTTTTAATTGGTTTGAAATTTTATTTTTATGAACAGATGGGAAAGACATTTGAAACCCCTACCTGGACTGATCTAGCAGCTAGGAAATGGAGAAAATCTTACTGGTTTCAAATGAAGTTCCAAAGAAAAGTAACTGATCTGATGTTTATAATGGGTCATAAAACACATTTGACTTTAGTGCTATCAAAGGCATTTGCTATTCAGTAGAGAAAAGCTAAAGTTGAAAAAAGCACTTGAAAATATTATCTTGCCTCTCTCACCACTGTTCTTCAGCTCCTTTCTTTACGACATCACTTTACTTCCCTTTTCCTTCTCTTTATTTCTTGTGATGAGACGGTTCCTAATGCCTGCCTTCTCCCATGTCTTAAAATGTGGGAAATTATCTGATTAGTAATACAAGACTGGTGGATTCAGTGGTGTTTGTAGGATAACATTTGGTTATTTTTTCTACATAGTAAGTACAACTCTAACATAATATTAACCCTAGGACAGATACACTCAAATTTCCTGCTGTATCCCTTGACAGAGTAGCTAGCTTGATTTTTAAAAGCAGCACTTTAAAGCAGTATGTCTAGAGTTTGTATTTGACTATGAAGTGAGTTAGGGGTGGCATCTGAGTTGTACCTTAACTACAGGCTACCGGAGAGTAGCAAGCATAAGCAATTGAAGACTCTGAGAAGCTTCACTGACAAATTCCTGACCAAAGCTGTCTTCTGGACCTCGTACTCAAGGAAGGACTTCTTGCAGATTTGAAGATTGAAGGCAGCCTTGGCTGTGGTGAGCATGAGATGGTGGGGTTTAGGGTCTTAAGAGGAGGTGTCAAGACAGAGAGCAAGACTACAGCCCTGGTTTTCAGGAGAGCAGACTTTGGACTCTTCAGTGCTTGGAAGAGTCCAATGGGATAAGGCTGTGGAGGAAAGAGGGGTCCAAGAAAGCTGATAGGGACCTCAAGGATCAGTTGGTCCAGTCTTTCTTGGCAAAGCATGACCTAGACAAGATGGCCTAGCACCCATAAAGAGGGAAGAGGGAAATGATGATAGCATGACTTTTGACACCTGAGACCAAGCTAGGGAGCAACAAACCACAAGGCTGTCATGGTTTAAGCCCAGCCAATAGCTCAGAACCATGCAGCCTCATTGCCCACTTCCCCCTCTTCTCCCCCCCGCCCCAGAGGGATGGGGAGGAGAAGCAAAAGAATGTGACTCCCACAGGTTGGGATAAGAACAGTCCAGTAACTAAGGTATAACACAAATCACTACTGCTACCACCAATAATAATAATGATAAGGGAAATAACAAGGGAAAAGAATACAAAACTAAAAAGGGAAGGGGAAAAAACAGTAAACACAAGTGATGTACAATACAATTGCTCACCATCTGCCAACCAATACCCAGCCCTACCCGAGCAGTGATATGGGCCTTCTGGGTAGCTCCTTTCAGTTTATATACTGGGCATGACGTGCTGTGGTATGGAATACCCCTTTGGCTAGTTTGTGTCAGGTGTCCTGTCTCTGCTTCCTCCTGGCTTCCCGTGCCCCTCCTCACTGGCAGAGCATGAGAGACTGAAAAGTCCTCGACTGGGGTAAGAACTGCTGAGCAACAGCTAAAACTTCAGTGTGTTATCGGCATTGTTCTCTGGCTAAAATCCTAAGTGCAGCACTACACCAGCTACTAAGAAGGAGAAAAATAACTGCTACAGCTGAACCCAGGACAAGTGTGTACAGCTGTACATAGCTTAATGAAGGGACATGAACTCTATTTATTTACTTTTTTTTTTTTTTAAATGTAGGAAGTTCTGCATGGATGAGGGAAAGGATGAGGGATGGATGGGGGAAAGGCAGTGAATATTGTCTACCTAGGCTTTGGTAATGCCCTTGGCATGGTTTCCCACAGCATTTTCCTGGAAAAACTGGCTGCTCATGGCTTGGATGTGTCTGTTCTTTTCTGGGCAAAAATCTGGGTATATGTCTGAGCCCAACATGTGGTGGTTAATCGAGTTAAATCCAGCTGTTAACTGGTCCTAAATGGTGTTTCTGAGCTGTAGGGCTCAGAACTGGGGCCAGGTATCATTAATATCTTCACTAGTGATCTGGATGAGGGGATTGAGTGTTTTCATATTATAGCAATTTGGGTGGGAATGTTGATCACCTGAAGGATAAGAAGGCTTTGCAGAGGGATCTGGAGAGGTTAGATCGATGGGCTGTGGCCAATGGTATGAGGTTCAACAAGGCAAAATGCTTGGTCCAGCACTTGGGCCACAACGACCCCATGCAATGCTCCAGGCTTGGGGAAGAGTGGCTGGAATGCTGCTTGGTGAAAATTTCATAGAATATTTCCTTTTGAGCTAAGACTACTTGTCCAAGGAAATGGAAATAGGTTATGCACACAGAGTGTAGAGATTGTGGTTTGTGTATTTGTTATGTTTGGTATGCAAAGCCATTTTCTCCTAGGATTGTTCTGGATGGGAGAATTTACTTTTGGTTCAGGGACAAACCAGTGGCAGTTTGCTTGGTGACTAGTTGTGACTTGACTCACAGAATGTGAAAAGGTGAGATGTGGTGTTTAAAAAAAAAATAATAAAAATTGTCAATTGTTAGTAAGAGAAGAGTAAAATTTCAGGATGTTACAGTTGCTAAAAGTTTACATGGATTAAAGGAGGTGACTGGATGAATAAGTTGCAGAAAAGCCCTCAGGGTATGTAAAGCAGAAGGATAACACCTCTGAGAAACCTTTAGTCTGTAAATTGCTTCATGCTGGAAGGGTATTCTGGGGGAGTATTGCTCTGTTTATGCTGTTTGTGTGCTTACTCACTGTCCAAGGGTGTGCTGCCTAGATTAACAATTAATCTGAATCTGTTGTATTGTTGTCTTCTAACACTGAATGTGCATCTGTGCCTACAAGGTTGAATAATTCCTTCTATTTTGCTGTATTAATTTGTTTCTCCAAATTGACTGCACTGTTTGTGAGCAAAGATAAATGTTAACGGGATTTAAAAAAATTAAATCTGCAAATTAATTTGAGGAATAATTAGTTAAAATTGGGTATTCAAATTTTGTATTTTATAGGTCTGCTCTCTTGCTGATGATTAGGGTTTTTAGATTTGAAAGTTGTAAACTTTACCAGCACCTACTACTTGAGTTCATTTCAGTCTTTAGTTTTTTCTGTGATAATGATCATCATATTAAATCTATTCCATTAGGAAAAAAAAGAACAAAAATTGCTGTGAGGAATAAACTAATTCTGCAAAAGTCGTTCACTCCTTTCTAAAAGTCACAGATAATTTACAGATGGATTTTCTTAGCAAGTGAAATAATCATAGCAGGCAGTCAGAAGTGCATGTTCATTGAGAAGGTTGAACTTCATACAGAAGTTCTGATTTTGTATATTGATTCTAGTTGCTGCATACATGAAAATCAAAACCAAGGAAAATGAAAACTGAGAGTAATAAATGTTTGCTACTTCTTGCTTTAACCTATATTTTTACTTCACTACTGGCCCGACTGTTGAATATCACCATGTTTCTTAATCGGCTCCATCAAGATTGCAGTCTGCCATCTATTTGTTCTCGAAGTTGAATAAGATTCCCAGAACTGTAGAGTCCAGTGATGGGGGTGTGGAGCAGGTTAGAATAAGGACATGTTTAAGGGCTGTCTTCCCGATAAAGAAACTTCCCTGCATTGATTCTGTAACAGTTTAGATAGCATTTCTTTTTTTTGTGACTGTTGGCGCATCAGCTGATGTCTTCCGTGGAGGTACTAATAATTGCTGTTGTAATGAAGTCTGATCTTTTTCTTCTCAGTTTTGTAGCTTTGTTATATTGACTCTTACATGCTGTATTACCTGAAATTAGAATTGCACTCTGTGAATGAATATGAAATACAACAAGATCTACATCTATGGCTTTCTGAATGGCTTTTAATGTACAAATTTTATGGGCAATAACGTAAGAAAACAGCTGAAATCCCATGAAATAAGTAGGTTTCTTCTGTGGTGTATTTCTTCTGCAGTATGTAATCATGGTTAGAAATACCTCTGAAGTGATATAATGGTTTTAGTTTCTATAATTGTCAGAGAAATGGTAAATTTATGCATGTAAATTAAATTGTAAAATAATTTTTCATGCTATTTAGTATTACTTTGTAAGTAATTAAAAAGCATAGATAGGACCAAGTGTAACTTAGTGGCTTCCAGCTGTCAACTCATCAAAGTTTTTTGTCTGCAGCTATTAATTCTATTGTGTATGCTGTTTCAATCAGTGTTAGGTTTGATCTCTATTAAGTGTTAAGCAGATATGAACTCCATTATGTTCTCTGCTTTGACTATCTCTTAGAACTTGTAAATCTTATTAAGAATTTTTTTCTGGTAACTTCAGCAGTCTTCTAACACGCTTACAGATTTGTATTAATATACAGTCTTTTTAAGAGGTAGTTCAGGTGTGCATCTTTATACAACAGGCTCAGTGAAGAATTGCATTACTTATTGATTTATTAATACATTTATTATTTACCTTTTTCAGGGTATTGAGGAATGGAATATTGCCCATCTTAACACAATATTGGATGTTGTAGAAGAAGAATGTGGAATTTCTATTGAAGGTGTAAATACTCCATATCTTTATTTTGGGATGTGGAAAACAACATTTGCATGGCACACAGAAGACATGGATCTCTACAGTATTAATTACCTCCATTTCGGGGAGCCCAAGTCATGGCAAGTAAAAATTATTATGAAAGATTATTTCATTTATCTGTTTGTTTCACCTGCCTAAACAAAACAGATGTGGTACAGTTGCTTCACAACAATAAGCTTTACTGAAAAACTAAATATTTTTTTTCTTTTTTTTTCCAAGCTAAAAATGCTTTGAAATATGTGAGATTTGTGATGTAAAGAACATTGCAGTAACACATTCTTTTATTTTAAAGGAAAAGACTATAAAGTACATAAGGCTTATTTGAATAAAACAGAAGATGATTGTAATGATTCACTATGAGAAGTTTAATGAGTTGGGAACACAAAGACAATTTGAAGGAACTACTGTAAGGCTTCTTTGAAATCAATTTGTTTGGTTCAATTGTCCTTTGGGAATGCCTGACATGTTTTGTATTAAACATGCACTTAATTGTTTTTTGAATCAGAGCCATTTCTCTAGTATTAACTCAGTATGACCAGGTGGAGATAAGATTGTGTTAAAAGTGATTCCTAAATATGTAGCTTCTGTTACCCTTTCTCTATAATGTTAGATTTTGGTCAAACACCCCTTAATAGAGAGACAAGGAGGTTTAATGTTACACACATAGATGTGATATAAATGTATCTTAAAGTATACGAGAAAAATGTTTTCTTTTTGATCATAAAATCTTACTTTTTAAAAAATACCTGTAAAGAAAACATAAAATCATTAGAAAGGTGTATAAAAGATATTTTATGTGTAGCTTGGTTCTGGCAGTTTCTAATGATCTAAACCTACATGGAACATTTTGTAGCTGGTAATTCCATAAAACATAAATGGTAATTTTTGTATCCACACAAAATACAAAGATCTATGGAACATCATGTATTTAAATTGAGAAGGTGGTAAACTGGTCAGCTGCTGGTTGTTAGGTAATTTCTTCGTTTACCTGCTTTTCTTGTGCAGTGATCACTTACATTCAGGCAGAGAAGGTACACCTATTGTAGCAATTCAAATCTATGTTTTGATTAGTTTTATACATATATTTTTTAAAGTGCTGCTTTGTTAGACTTAGATGCACCAAGAAAGTCTTCTCAGCCTTAAGAATGGAATCTTTGTTGGATGTAAAGATAGGTAATTCCAAAATGTTCTAAGATGATAGGAGACATGCTCCATCCCTGGCAGTGTTCAGGGCCAGGCTGGACGAGGCCTTGGGTGATATGGTTTACTGGGAGGTGTCCCTGCCCATGGCAGGGGGGGTTGGAACTAGATGATCTTAAGGTCCTTTCCAACCCTAACTATTCTATGATTCTAAAAAAACAAATACATAAAAATATTTTGGTTTCTTAAGAATTTTGAAAGTGCTATTTATAGAAAACCTTATTGCATGTTGTAAAATTCCAGGTAGTAGAGACATTACTTAAATCCTGAAGGTCTTGGACACAATGGATAAAAGCTAAGAAAACTTTTTTTAAGTATTTTGAAGGAAGTATGAGTTGATAATATGAAAAATGCTTTTCTAGTTTGCAGATACTTGTTTGCACTTCCAAGTTAAAAAAAAATAAATCGTTAAACAATGACCTCTTAATCTTTTGAAGAAATAGCAGTGGATAGGATTTTATTTTCTGGACCACATTGGCCCATTTGTTTAGAAATGCAGCCCTAAAAGAAGTTGAATTCAAGTCAGTGAAAGATGTATTTGTTGTTGCATATGTTCCTTTACTGGAGGAAGGTTGCAGTAATTTATGCTAATGCTGTTTCTATGTCAGTAAAATGTATGTTGTGTTAGTGTGATATTAGTATAATATTTTCTCCAAAAAGTGGAGGATGAGTAGAATCTTAGGGTACGGATAGTAAAGATCTTGTCTGCTCTTAAAAAAATTTAAATTGAGTTGGCAAGTGCTTTGTTAGCGAAACCAAATACCCTGGCATGTAACACATATTTTTTAATTTTACTGGATGTATAACCCATATTGGTTTTATGGAGAACAGAGAAGTATTTTATGCAGAAGCATAATGTATTTTCTCTAGAAGAGAAGACGGCTACTTCCATCTGATTGCTGTGATGAGAACTTGTAGGCAGCAGCTCAGTCTGACTGCTATGGCAGTCTTTATGAAACTGACCATTCTCCTCTATTTAGGCATAAGATTAAATTTCTTACACTCTATGCAGTTTCACTTTCAAGAGGTACACAAGGAAGTTTATATATAGTTTTATATTATGGATACAGATGCCTGCGTACTCAGACTGACACTAGTGTATGATTTAATAACAAATATGTTGATACAGTAATTGGGTTAAAAGAGACTCAGCTAGGTCTTGACAGGGTCTTCTGGCGCAGCATTAACAGAACAGCAGCTGATCCAAATCTGTCTGGGTGGTGCAGAGTTCAGCACGCGTGGAAGAGTCTTGCTACCTTTGCACAAGTTATGCATACCACTGACATTTCCCTAGTTTTGGTCTGTATCTAGGAGAAATAACAGTTATAAAAAAATTAAAGTGCAGTCTCTTAGTGTGAAAAATGGGAGTAATGTCTAAAACTTTCATGATAGCTGGGGGAGGGAGTTACACTCAACCTAGAAGATGATTAGCTGCACTTACTGCTGAAAATGATCAGGAAAGTTAGAAATAAGAATATCAGGAGTCACAGAGATTACTATAAACAAATAGGGATTCTATGTAACTATAATTAAACAGTGCAGGGGTTTGACAGCAGTCTGAAAGGGTTATCACCGTTCTTGAAACCAAGCTATCATTTGGTAGTTAGAATATTCTCCATAAAGTGAGAGAACTTTGCTGAGAGTGGTGGTGTTTTTGTTGTTGTTGCTTTTTTTGTGGGTTTTTTTTTTTTTAATATTCACCCTGTAGAAGTGGGTTTTTATATATACCAGGTTTATATAATCCCGTAGAAGTGGGTTTTGTTCCTTGAAATACTTGGGAGGTGATGTACCTCGAAATTTCCCTTCTCAAAACACTATGTTTTAACTTCCTAAATTAAGTTTGAGACTTCTATTTGTTTATATTTTAAAAATCTATTTATAATCTTTATACATATTAAATATTACCCACCTAAGTATACAGTAGAGCAATTTAGTGTTGCTTATAGAAAGTGGCATGGGATTATCAGCTCACTGTCTGGAATTAAATAGCATTATTTTGGTATAAGGCGGAGGTTGTGTATTACCTGTTACCAACTGGAAGCAATGAATTGGGTTCATTGTGAAAAAAAATGCTGTTGTTAGTTTATTTTTAACAACATTTTATGGGTTATGCAGCTTTGGAATTTTTAGAACACTGATTCTAAATGCTGATATTTTTAGAATACTGATTCTGAATCCTGATAGCAGGAAGAATTATCAGCTGTTGTTCCCATGTGAAGGTATAACATGGGCTTCAGAAGAGTAGTTTGGTTAATTATTTAGGATCACATTGAATTTAGCTTGCAGCTGTTCGTGTTATCCAGTATCTGTGCATGTTCCTGACTTAGGAAGAATGGAAGTCAGTGTTTCACATTCTGTTTTGTGTCACTATGAGGAGAATAATTAGGTGTTTGTCTAAGAGGCTGCTTGTCTGATGACCATCTTGCTTAACTGGGTGCATTTTGCACAATAAAGCAATGATTCTTTGGTTTTGTTGCTTTTTTATGTGCATGCTTTGAATAATACTGTTTTAGAAGTTGCGTGATTTGTAAAACATACCACTTAGCTGAGCACCTAACAGGAATTATGAGTTCTCCTTTCATCTGCAGTCATCAGAATACTGTGCATGTGTTAAAAGTTAGTGGATTCACATTCAGTCTTGAATTTATCTATTGCCTACTGTTAGAAAATATGGCAGTACTGAATAACCAGTTACTCTCTTGCACAAAAAGCAGTAAAAATAACAATCCCACCCACTTCTTTCATTTGGAGGATGCAATTTATAAAATCAAATGCAGCATTGAAGAGTAGAGTCTGTGGTGTCACCAGGAAGGGAGAAAAGATAATATCGACTGATGTTTTTAAATACATCGAATTTTCTGTGTTAGGGTTTACATTTATTTTATTAATGATGTTAAATCTCAGTCAAGATGTACTCTATTCTTCAAGATACTTGGCTATGAGGTAGAATGAATTTAGTTTCTTGTAGTCTCAAAAAACCCCACCCAAGAAAGCAAAACCATATACTTATTTTCTTCATTTAGAATACTAATAGATGATGGGACTTGAACTGTTTATTTGACTTCCTCATTACTAAGTGGAGATAATGTGAATGCATGTATTGTATGTATTCATTCCTTCTGAAATATGTGATATTGTTCTGTATATTACTTTGTATATATTTCTGTATACTTTTTTTCTCTTCTGTCTCCATTGATGTCCATAATGGGGTTTGGTGGTGAAGTAGCTGTGGAGGCTTTCCTTTGGGGAAGTATCACGGTTATTTAGTACTTATTTTCTTTAAAGCCCAGATCTGTAGCACCTCTGAAAATGTTATTCCCAGTATTTTTCCAAATATGTGGGATACTTCCTGAGAACTTTCTGGATTGTCAGGACTCTTTGTTTTTAATGTGGAACATCGCTTTTCTGTTCTTATCAGAATTAGGAATATGGATTAGCATAAGAGGATCCTTTTGCAAAATATAAGAAGTCTATAGATAAAGGAAGGGGGGAGTTGTGTTTTTTTTTTTTTTTTTCCCAGTCCTTATGGGCAAATTATTAATTTAAATAAGGGCAAAATATCGTATGAGCTGATTCTTGTGTCTAATTGTTGACTTAAAAATTTTTCTGTAAAAGTTGTATGTTCTGATATGTGGCCTGGGTTGTAATCTGTGGTGCTGGGAGATTATAGAGCCACAATCTTCTCAGAGGTGCACTGACATAACAAAGGAAAGGTAGCAGTACTCACAGGTTGCAGCAAAGGGACATTTTGGCTTGATAGGAGGAAAAAATAATTCACAGTGATGTTGTAACAGGTTGCTTAGGGAAGCTGCTGAGTCTTCATCTTTGGAAATTTTCAGAGATTGACTAAGGCACATGAAAAACCACAAGCTGCTTGATGACAGCCTGAATGGCTTCACTAAGGGGAAATCCTGCCTGATCAATTTGGTGGCCTTCTATGATGAGGCTATGGAACTGATGGACA